TTCGTTAATTTTGGCGATTCGATCGTATCAATATTTTTCTCTTTTGCGGTATCTCTTTTCATATCTGATTCATTAATTTTCTCTTTATCGGTTTTCTCTATTTTCTCAATATTTTCCTCAACGACATTTTTAATATTATCATCCAATTTATTCTTTTCGTCGGTTTGATTGATCTCGTCACGTTTAACTCTAACGTCACCCGATGATGATCTCTCTTGATCGTCATTTGCGTACTCATAATCGGTACTTTCACGTTTAATTTTACTGTCCTTAGATTGAACAATTTTATCCCGATCATCGTCAGTTTCGTTATCATTGGTTTCCTCAAGATCTGCACTGTAATCATCGGACTCATCGGCATTGTCAGATTTTTGCAAATTCGTACGTTGCTCATTGCTATCCTCGTCATTGTCCGATGACGATGACGATGACGATGACGAACGTTTTTTCTCTACATTGTCAACACTTTCATGTTCCTCATTGTCATTGGACTTCAATTGATTATCATCCAATAAAGCGTATCTTTTTTTTCTAATGTGTGTCGTATCGTATTCAATGTCGACGAACGATGTACTCGAAATATATTCGACATTGTTAATAGGAACATTTGTTACGTTCGTCAACAAATCTATCGTCCAATCTGGCGTTATCGACAAATTTAAATTGTTTTTATTATTGTAATTAATGGAAACATTTGATGATATTTCGTCATTAGAATAATTATGACGATATTGATTGTCCAATAAACGACGTCGTGGGATCAAATAATCCAAAGTTTGATTGAACATTATCGCCATTTGTTCTTCTTCATTGCTCGAATGCCTAAAATTAGGCTCTTTATCATTCCTAAAAGAAAGATCGCTCAATAAATCGCAATAAATCAAAAGATATACCTCCCTCTCTCTATCTATCTATCTATATTTTTCAGAATTTTATTTAAACGAATTTTCTTTATTTTATTTTATTTTTCTTTTTTTTTCTTTTTTTTTTTTTACTTATAAATTATCTATACACTTACTTGGAAATATTGAGCGTTTGAATAAATGGTTTGCTTGAAATTAATTGGAAAAATATTGACAAGATCAAAATGAAAATTTTAATCAGTTTGAATGATTTCAACATTGTGTCTCACGACATCGTTAGAAGTTAGATCTTTCTACAAATGGTTTATTTATTTATTATTTTTCTTTTTTGAGTAATTATAATTTTATTTATTATCAATCAATTAATGTTATTGGGTTATGTGCTGATTAGTTTGACGTGGACGAGAATACTTTCACAATTTTTTTTTTTTCTATCTTTCTTCTTCTTTTTTCTTTCTCTCTCTCTCTCTCTCTCTCTCTCTCTCTCTCGCTATCATTCGTAATTCGTAACAAAGAACAAAAGGCGGGCGTTGACACATGATATTAAATTTTATCGATTTATCAATGAATTCTTTTTTTTTTTTCTTCTGGTCTGTCGATGACACGCCATTGTTTATACACCCATACATATATATTATTATATAGTACATACTATATGTATATAATATATATATATATATATATATATATATATATATATATATATATATATATAAGTTATATACTCAAGAGATATTTTATTTAAAATTTTGACAATGTATATTAAATTTTTTACAATATATCCATTTATTTATTTATTTATTTATTTATTTATTTATTTATTTATTTATTGCGTTTCTTTTTTTGTTTGACTATACAAAAGTTAGACAATATTAACGAAATATTTGAGTTTTATATATTTTTTAATTAATTAATCAATCAATTTATTCATTTATTTTTCTCACTTGAAATTTTTGTACAATTACATTTTTTACAATATATTTATTATTTTTTTTTTTTTTTATTGCTATACAAAAGTTCGATAACATTAACGACACGTTTGTATTAATTTTTTGTTATATATGTATATATATATATTTTTTTTCTTTATTTCCTTTTTTTTTATTTTTCTTTTTATTTATTTATTTTTTTTTTCTTTTTTTTTTTTTTTTTTTTTTTCATTATTAACAACAGCATTGGCATCAGGTTTCAGGACGAAACTTGATCAAGCTTGACCAAAAAAAAAAAATGTAAGATGAACATACGTACAAACGAATGAATAAAATATATGCTTAAAAAAGAATCGACGTTCATAGTATCAATGAACGTTATCTTAAAGCATATTATAGAAATTTTATTGCTTAGATCTAATAATACAGGATTGACCCGAAAGTTCCCTAGATCTTATCAAAAAATCGATTACTTTCTTTTTTTTTTTTTTTTTTTTTTTTTACGGAACCTTCTATGCCAAATTTTTTTCACGTATTATAAAGAAAGAAAAATGGGCCAAGAAAAAATCTTGGAAATTTCGTAAACCATGAAGGAAGAAATTTTTTAAAAGAATATCAATTTGGAAAAGAAAAAAAAAAAAAAGAATAATCGACGTTTAAAATTATCTTAGGAACTTTTGGTTCCCCCACTCTGTATTTACTAAATACACGAACATTCTGATGTGTATACGCACATTGAGGTAAGCGAGGAATATAATTTATATTTATTTATTATTCATATAATACTTACACAAATTTCGTAATTATATCTGAAATAAAGATATATGATTTATTTGTTTGCTTGTTTATTTATTTATTTTTTTTTTATTTATTTATTTACTTATTAAAAATAAAAATTGAAAAATGATATTGCAAATTCATTTTCTTTTAAGAATTCTGAAATATACGATTGCGTTCATACTATTATTATTATTATTATTATTATTATTATTATTATTATTATTATTATTATTATTATTAATATTATTTTTATTATTATAATTATTATTAGTATTATTATTAATATTATTATTATTATTATTATTATTATTATTATTATTATTATTATTATTATTATTATTATTATTTTTGTTATTATTCGGCAGTAAAAGTAAAAATTAAATTTGTCAATAATTAAAAAATATTTTTATTTCCCTGACACTGCCGCGTGCTCGTATGTTCGTTTGTTCTTTTCTTGTAAATTCGAAAATCGTGATTGGAAAAAAAAACAATTATGAAACACAAAAGAAAAAGAATAAAATAAAAAAAAAGAAAAAAATAAAATGGAATAAATAAATAAAAAGAAGAGAAAAAATCGTTCGCAGAAAAGTTTGCAATTCAACAAAATTTACATTTAAACAATGATACGATATATTACGATTAATTTTTCGATCAGTATCTAAAAAAAAAAAAAAAAAAAAAAAAAAAGAAATAATAAAAAAAAACCATAGAAAAAATGTATTTCGATCGTCATGTAAAAACAGAAAAATTGTAACGAGAAAAAAAGAGGATGAATAAATAAAATTGATGATGGAAAAAGAGATAAAGGAAAAGATAAGGAAGAAATAAATAATCGTATATGCATGATACATATATATATATGTGTATATATATATATATATATAATATATAATTCAAACAAATAATTTCATTGACAAATAAACGAAGGAAGAAAAAATTAATTTCACTTATATAAGATTAATGATAAAAGATAATAGATAAAAGAAAAGAAAAGAAAAGAAAAAGGGAGAAGAAGAAGAAGAAGAAAAAAAGAAAAAGAAAAAGAAAAAGAAAGGACAAGAAAAACAAAACAAAACAAAAAAAAACCAAAAGGCAAGAACATTAATAACACGCGCATGTGTGTATAATTAAAAATTACAAAAAATGAAAAAAAGAATAAAACAAAAAAAAAAAAAAGAAATTAATTTGCGATAGCCGAATGAACAAAGAGAAAAAAAAAAAAAGAAAAAGAAAAAGAAAAAAAGAAAAAAGAAACGGGGTAAAAAAACAAAATAAACAAAAACCAAAGAAAAATAGAAGCGCAAAAAAAAAATACAGGAAAAAAAATGGAATACACGTGTATTGCATATTTATATAAAATAAAAAAAATATATATATATATGTATATATAAAATGGACGGTGCATATATACACATACATATATATATATATATGTATATATGTATATATGGATATATGTAGAAAAAAAAAAGAAAGAGAAAAAAAATAAAGTAAAAAGAAAAAAGAAATTAATTAACGTAGTATACAAATATGTACGTACACGTCCATATTGGATTAATCTACGGTATTTATAGGACGAGATCTAACATCGCGTTAGAATCGTACCTTATCACGGGTTATTGATTAAGCTCTAATTATTGCTTCGTAATACACGTTGGTTTAACTATGAAACTAAACGTCATCATATAATATGTCTATAATATATATCTATATATATATATATATATATATAGATATATATATATCTTTCTGAATATCTGTATTTTTCTCGTTATTATTTTGTTCAAAAAATTTGGGACAACTTTGATGTCCCTATCAAATAATCTCGTAATCATTTTTTTTTCTTTCGAATCTCTCTCTCTCTCTCTCTCTTTTTTTCTTTTCTTTTCTTTCCTTTCTTTCGTTTTTTTTATTTTTTTTTTATTTTTTGTTACTCCTACACATCGTCTCGCTCGAATAATAATAAATATGTATAACGCACAAAATATAACAGCAAAAATTTATCACAATATATTGTTTTTTTTTTCCTCTTTCTATCTCTCTCTCTCTTTCTCTCTCTCTATCTATCTATCTCGTTTATACACTCCTACCTACCCCCCACCTCTCCTCTCTCTCATTTTCTCTTACTAGGATCATTAAACAATCCATTAACAAATATATGTCATGGCTAATTCGAGAGCTCGCTCGAATAAATTTTATAAAAAATTTCGTTGATCTATTTCATTGGAACAGATTTATTTTTTTTTACGCACATATATATATATGTGTGTGTGTGTGTGTGTGTGTGTGTGTATTGTATCTTAAATTTATTAAAAGACGAAAAATTTGAAGCAAAAAAAGGAAGAAAAAAAAAAAGAAAGAAAGAAAAAAAAATGGAGAGAGAAAAAGAAAAAAAAAAAGTGAAAAGAATCAATCAAAAATTTATCAATAGGATCCATGATCTTAAATCCTATTTAGGATCATTAGATCTTAAATAAATTTAATTCGAAACAAGTGGCATATAAAATTTATGTTTGGGTGTGTCCCTGGTATGTTTGAAGGGTGTTTGTTTCGATTCGATTAAGGACGCAGGACAGGGACCTTTGTGTTTAGGCGCATATTCCTTTTTATACATGCTAGAAGTAACATGATTGCCGTCGCCCAATTTAATATGCGACACGTTCGATTGTTTTTGTACCCTTTCGATTTTTTGAGTATTAGCAAAATTCCCATAAGTTTTAGCCTCGCTATGGGAATAAAATATACCACCGACTGTCAAATTATCTTGCCTGATGATTCTCTGTGGTCTTTCGTAGGTAGACGATGCCCAAAGATTTGCGTCCTTGTTGTTACGGTGCAACGAGGTCAAGCTACGTCTGTCATTACTCTGACTCGAATTGCTTATGTATTGTCCACTTTCAGCTAAATTTGAGAGACTCTTTTTTTGATCAGCTGCAGTAGACGATATCGTATGTAAAGCTTCCGTGGACGTAGTCATACCACTACGACGATGAAGTACAGAATTGGTTACGTCAGCTGACGACGACGATATAATATTTTTTCTATGATGAGACTTTTTAGTATAGGCCGATTGTTCATGGCTATCATCGTTTATGATCGAGGATCCAGAAATTGCTTGTTTAAATTCGGTACTATTAGCTTGATTACCGTTGTATTTAGCTTGGCTAGATACAGTGTGCTGATCGTAATGCTGTTTGGAATGTCTAATAGCACTGCTCTGACGTTTCTCCATATGCATTGAATTTACATAATCACGTTTACTACTCTCTTGGATCTGTTTATGTGTATCTTGTATCTGCTTGTTGTCCTTCAAAAGCTGCCCTTGCCGAGATTGATGATCGACGGATCTATCATCTAATGTACGCCGTGATTGGGATAGATTTTGGGATCTAGAGTGTTGCTCATTGGAATAGATTCTCTGCTGATGTTCGTTCAAGTGTTGCTGTTGCTGTTGTTGAAGATGATGATGATGATGTTGATGATGTTGTTGTTCGTTGCCAATCGTTTGGACATTACGACGGTCGACAATAGTCTGTTGGTGTACGTTATGAGCCGAAGAGACATGTTGATCGGATTGTACTGAAGTTGTTGTTAACTTTTTCACTACGGAAATATTCTTCTTGATATCTGATTCGAGATTGTTGATCTGTGTGTCTATTTCTTTACCACGTTTGGTATAAGTGTTATAATTTCTTTGATTGGTCGTTGTCATGACGGTAGTGTCGTCACCTAAATTGATCGACGATTCCATGTGACGTCTTCGACTTATTTGTTTATCACCATGTGACAAATCCTTCTTTATAGGTGTGAACGTGTCCTTACTGGTTGTCTTCGTTTCCATACTATCAGTACTGACCTTGAGATTATCTTCATGACGTTTAACCTCAGCACGTTCACCACGTACTGCGGTATATGTCGATTTTTGCATGCTGGTACCCTGGAAATCACCTGACAGTTTCAAATTATCTTCTCTCCTGATAACCTCGCTTCTTTCACCTCGTTTAATCGTATAATCATCACGTGATCGACCTACAAAATCACCTTCCGGCTTCAAATTGTCAACATGACGAATGGGTGAACGTCTTTCACCTGGTTTCATTTTTTCCGGTGTCCTACGTTCGAAGTCACCTTCTGATTTTAAATTGTCAGGATGTTTGATAGGTGATCTTCGTTCGGCTGGACCCAACTGACTCTTTTGAGGTCTATCAAAGTCTCCCTCGGGACGTAAATGATCCGATTGTCTTTTAACAGACACTCGTTCGCCAGCAACGTATGTGTAATCGTCTTTTCTTCTAACATCTATAAATTCACCTTCCATTCTTAAATGATCCTCTCTTTTCTTTATATCTACTCGTTCAACTTTGGTGATCTTGTAATCATCTCTAGATCGTCGTACATCCAAATCACCTTCCATACGTAAATGATCTTCGTGACGACGTACTTCCATTCTTTCACCATTCGTGTATTTGTAATCTTCTTTCGAAGTTGGCATTATCTGCATTTCACCTTCGGGTCTAAGATTATCCTGTGGTTTCTTAATCGGTGAACGTTCAGCTTTCTGAGGACTATAATCATCCTTCGGAACGATATAAAATTCTCCTTCGACGTGCAAATTGTCTTCGTGTCGAATCGGACCACGTTTCTCAGCTGGTTCGAGTTTTTTCGGTGTACGTTTAGCAAATTCACCTTCTGGACGAAGATTGTCCTTTGGTTTCTTAACATCAGCTCGATCGCCACGACCTGGAGTCTCTTTTTTAGGTCTACCAATGAAATCACCTTCTGGATGGAGATTATCAGGGTGCTTGATTGGCGTCCTTCGTTCAGCAGGTCCAACTATTGTCTTTTCTGGTCTATCAAATTCACCTTCCGGTTTCAAGTTGTCCTTGGGTTTCTTAATAGCTGCTCGATCACCTTTGCCAGGCGTTGATTCTTTTGGTCTTTGAACAAAATCACCTTCAGGTTTCAAATTGTCTGGATGTTTGATCGGTGTTCTTCTTTCTGCTGGACCTACTGGTACCTTATCGGGACGTTCAAAGTCACCTTCTGGACGAAGATTATCTTCATGCCTGATGATCTCGCTACGTTCCCCACGTGTCACTCTATAATCGTCACGTCTTCGAATATCAATAAATTCACCTTCCACTTTGAGATTATCTTCTCTACGAATGACATCTGTTCGTTCAATTCTGGATGTTGTAGTATAATCATCTCTTGATCTATGTACGTGAATGTCACCCTCCATCTTCAAATTGTCACGATGAATTACGATCTCAGTTTTTTCTGCCTTGCCAGGTTTATAATCGTCTTTAGGCTTGCCAACAAATTCACCTTCGGGTTTGAGATTGTCCTTTGGTCTCTTTTGAATAGGACGTTCAGCGCGTTTCGGTGTGAAATCATCTTTAGGTCTACCAACAAATTCACCTTCGGGATAAAGATTGTCCTCGTGTTTAATTGGTGATCGTCTTTCAGCTGGTCCAACTGAGATTTTCTCTGGTCTCTCGAATGTTCCTTCTGAACGAAGATTGTCTTTAGGTCTCGTGACATCAGCTCTTTCACCTTTCCCAGGTGTCTTCTCTTTCGGACGACCCACAAATTCACCTTCTGGATAAAGATTATCAGGACGTTTGATAGGTGTTCTTCTCTCAGCTGGTCCAACTGCTGTCTTTTCTGGTCTATCAAATTCACCTTCTGGTTTCAAATTGTCTTTAGGTTTCTTGATAGCAGCTCGATCACCTTTACCAGGTGTCACTTCTTTAGATCTCTGGACAAACTCACCTTCGGGTTTCAAATTGTCCGCATGTTTTATTGGTGTTCTTCTTTCGGCTGGGCCAACAGGCTTTTTCTCTGGCCTTTCAAAGTCTCCTTCCGGCTTCAGGTTATCTTTAGGCTTCTTTACGTCAGCTCTTTCACCTTTCTTAGGTGCCTGTTCCTTTGGACGACCAATAAATTCACCTTCAGGCTTCAAATTGTCATCATGTTTGATAAGCGATCTACGTTCTGCTGGTCCAACTGGTGTCTTTTCAGGCCTCTCAAATTCACCTTCAGGTTTCAAGTTATCTTCTGGTTTCTTGATTTCTGGTCTGGTCACTTTCTTTGGCGAATAATCATCCTTGGGCCGACCTTCGAAAAGACCTTCGGACTTGAGATTATCCTCGTGCCTGACTATATCTACTCGTTCACCTCTGACTACTTTGAAATCGTCTCTAGTTCTAATATCAGTAAATTCACCTTCCATCCTTAAATTGTCCTGATACTTGACGACTTCGGCACGTTCACGTAAGATGAAATCAGTATACTCATCACGTGATCTATAAGTTTCAATATCACCCTCCATTCGCAGATTGTCGGTACGTCTGACAACGTCCATGCGTTCACCACGAGTTGTTACGTAATCATCTTTAGGACGACCTTCGAATGGACCTTCTGGTCTGAGATTATCTTCAGGTTTCTTAACATCAGCACGTTCACCTTTGGTAGGTCTAAAGTCATCTTTAGGTCTACCTGTGAAGTCACCTTCGGGTTTGAGATTATCAGGATGTTTTATAGGCGTACGTTTCTCGGCAGGTTTAGCTGGAGATTTAACAGGTCTATCGAATTCACCTTCTGGATATAAGTTATCCTTTGGTTTCTTAATGTCAACTCTTTCACCACGTTTTGGTGCCTCTTCTTTAGGTTTACCTAAAAATTCACCTTCCGGTTTCAAATTATCCGGATGTTTGATAGGAGTCCTCTTTTCAGCCGGTCCAAACTTCTTTATCTGTGGTCTATCAAATTCACCTTCAGTTTTGAGATTATCTTTGGGTTTTTTCATTTCTGGCCTCTCAGCTGGCTGATACTCTTCATGTTCAGGACGTTCGAAGTCACCTTCAGGTTTCAAATTGTCTTTGGGTCTTTTAACTTCAGCTCTATCACCTTTTATCGGTGTCTCTTCTTTAGGCCTTGACATAAATTCACCTTCAGGTTTGAGATTATCTGGATGTTTGATAGGTGATCTTCTTTCGCTAGGACCCATTGGGACTTTTTCTGGTCTCTCGAAGTCACCCTCAGGACGTAGGTTGTCTTTAGGTCTCTTGACATCAGCTCTTTCCCCACGTTTAGGTGTTTCTTCTTTTGGACGACCTATAAAATCTCCTTCTGGTTTCAAATTATCTTCTGGTCTTTTGATTTCTGGACGTTCGGCTCTTTTCGGTGAGTAATCATCTTTGGGAAGACCTTCGAAAGGACCTTCGGATTTGAGGTTGTCAGGGTGACGTACGATGTCAGCTCGATCACCTTTGACGACCTTATAATCGTCTCTCGTTCTGATATCAGTGAATTCACCTTCCATTCTTAAATTGTCCTGATACTTGACAACTTCGGTACGTTCACGTATGATGAAATCGGTGTACTCATCACGTGATCTATAAGTTTCAATATCACCTTCCATTCGCAAGTTGTCAGTACGTCTGATAACGTCCATGCGTTCACCACGAGTTGTTAAGTAATCATCTTTAGGACGACCTTCGAATGGACCTTCTGGTCTGAGATTATCTTCAGGTTTCTTAATATCAGCACGTTCACCTTTGGTAGGTTTAAAGTCATCTTTAGGTCTACCAATGAAGTCACCTTCGGGTTTGAGATTGTCTGGATGTTTGATTGGTGAACGACGTTCAGCTGGTCCCACTGTAGATTTTTCTGGCCTATCGAAATCACCTTCTGGTCGAAGATTGTCTTCTGGACGCTTTACTTCTGGTCGTTCTGCTCGTTTTGGTGAGTAGTCATCTTTGGGACGACCTTCGAATGGTCCTTCTGGTTTTAAATTGTCCTCCGGACGTTTGACGTCAGCTCTCTCCCCACGAGTGGGTTTATAATCATCTTTAGGACGACCTTCAAATGGACCTTCAGGTCTGAGATGATCTTCAGGTTTTTTAACATCAGCACGTTCACCTTTTGTAGGTTTAAAGTCATCTTTAGGTTTACCAATGAAGTCACCTTCAGGTTTGAGATTATCTGGATGTTTGATTGGTGAACGACGTTCTGCTGGTCCTACTGGAGATATTTCTGGCCTATCGAAGTCACCTTCTGGTCGAAGATTGTCCTCTGGACGCTTTACTTCTGGTCGTTCTGCACGTTTAGGTGAATAATCATCTTTGGGACGACCTTCGAATGGACCTTCTGGTTTTAAATTATCCTCTGGACGTTTGACATCAGCCCTTTCACCTCGAGTTGGTTTGTAATCATCTCTTGGTCTACCTTCAAATAGACCTTCCGGCCTCAAATTATCTTCAGGACGTTTAACTTCTGGTCTTTCTACTCGCTTAGGGGAATAATCATCTTTGGGACGACCTTCGAATAGCCCCTCTGGATATAAATTATCTTCTGGACGTTTCACTTCAGGTCTTTCTGCACGTTTAGGCGAATAATCATCCTTAGGACGACCTTCAAATGGACCTTCAGGTCGCAAATTATCTTCAGGACGCTTAACATCAGCTCTCTCGCCTCTGGTTGGCATGTAATCATCTTTTGGACGACCTTCGAATGGTCCTTCTGGTCTTAAGTTGTCTTCTGGACGTATTACATGAGGTCTATCTGCACGTTTCGGAGAATAATCATCTTTTGGTCTTCCTTCGAATGGTCCTTCTGGGCGCAAATTATCTTCTGGCCTCTTAACATCGGCCCTTTCACCTCGAGTTGGTTTGTAATCGTCTCTTGGTCTACCTTCAAATGGACCTTCAGGTCGCAAATTATCTTCAGGACGTTTAACATCAGCTCTCTCGCCTCTGGTTGGCATGTAATCATCTTTTGGACGACCTTCGAATGGTCCTTCTGGTCTTAAGTTGTCTTCTGGACGTATTACATGAGGTCTATCTGCACGTTTCGGAGAATAATCATCTTTTGGTCTTCCTTCGAATAGTCCTTCTGGGCGCAAATTATCTTCTGGACGTTTTACGTCTGGTCTTTCCGCATGTTTTGGTGAATAGTCATCCTTAGGTCTACCTTCAAATGGTCCTTCTGGTCGCAAATTATCTTCAGGACGTTTAACATCAGCTCTCTCGCCTCTGGTTGGCATGTAATCATCTTTGGGACGACCTTCGAATGGTCCTTCTGTTCTTAAGTTGTCTTCTGGACGTATTACATGAGGCCTTTCTGCACGTTTCGGTGAATAATCATCTTTAGGTCGTCCCTCGAATGGTCCTTCTGGTCGCAAATTATCTTCAGGTCGTTTAACATCAGCCCTTTCTCCTCGAGTTGGTTTGTAATCATCTCTGGGTCTACCTTCAAACGGTCCTTCAGGGCGCAAATTATCTTCTGGACGCTTAACATCAGCTCTCTCACCTCTGGTTGGCATGTAATCATCTTTGGGACGACCTTCGAATGGTCCTTCTGGTCTTAAGTTGTCTTCTGGACGTATTACATGAGGTCTTTCTGAACGTTTCGGTGAATAATCATCTTTAGGTCGTCCCTCGAATGGTCCTTCTGGTCGCAAATTATCTTCAGGTCGTTTAACGTCAGCTCTTTCACCTCGAGTTGGTTTATAATCATCTCTAGGGCGTCCCTCGAACGGCCCTTCTGGTCTCAAATTATCCTCAGGCCTTCTAACTTCTGGTCTCTCTGCACGTTTTGGAGTGTAATCGTCCTTAGGTCGTCCCTCGAATGGTCCTTCTGGTCGCAAATTATCTTCGGGTCGTTTAACATCAGCCCTTTCTCCTCGAGTTGGTTTATAATCATCTCTAGGGCGTCCTTCGAACAGTCCTTCTGGTCTCAAATTGTCTTCAGGCTTTCTAACTTCTGGCCTCTCTGCACGTTTTGGTGAATAATCATCTTTAGGTCGTCCCTCGAATGTCCCTTCTGGTCGCAAATTATCTTCAGGTCGTTTAACATCAGCCCTTTCTCCTCGAGTTGGTTTATAATCATCTCTAGGACGTCCCTCAAACGGCCCTTCTGGTCTCAAATTATCCTCAGGCCTTCTAACTTCTGGTCTCTCTGCACGTTTCGGAGTATAATCGTCCTTAGGTCGTCCCTCGAATGGTCCTTCTGGTCGCAAATTATCTTCAGGCCGTTTAACGTCAGCTCTTTCACCTCGAGTTGGTTTATAATCATCTCTAGGGCGTCCCTCAAACGGCCCTTCTGGTCTCAAATTATCCTCAGGCCTTCTAACTTCTGGTCTCTCTGCACGTTTCGGAGTATAATCGTCCTTAGGTCGTCCCTCGAATGGTCCTTCTGGTCGCAAATTATCTTCAGGTCGTTTAACGTCAGCTCTTTCACCTCGAGTTGGTTTATAATCATCTCTAGGGCGTCCCTCGAACGGCCCTTCTGGTCTCAAATTATCCTCAGGCCTTCTAACTTCTGGTCTCTCTGCACGTTTTGGAGTGTAATCGTCCTTAGGTCGTCCCTCGAATGGTCCTTCTGGTCGCAAATTATCTTCGGGTCGTTTAACATCAGCCCTTTCTCCTCGAGTTGGTTTATAATCATCTCTAGGGCGTCCTTCGAACAGTCCTTCTGGTCTCAAATTGTCTTCAGGCTTTCTAACTTCTGGCCTCTCTGCACGCTTCGGTGAATAATCATCTTTAGGTCGTCCCTCGAATGGGCCTTCTGGTCGCAAATTATCTTCAGGCCGTTTAACGTCAGCTCTTTCTCCTCGAGTTGGTTTATAATCATCTCTAGGACGTCCCTCAAACGGCCCTTCTGGTCTCAAATTATCCTCAGGCCTTCTAACTTCTGGTCTCTCTGCACGTTTAGGAGTATAATCGTCCTTAGGTCGTCCCTCGAATGGTCCTTCTGGTCGCAAATTATCTTCAGGTCGTTTAACGTCAGCTCTTTCACCTCGAGTTGGTTTATAATCATCTCTAGGACGTCCCTCAAACGGCCCTTCTGGTCTCAAATTATCCTCAGGCCTTCTAACTTCTGGTCTGTCTGCACGTTTCGGAGTATAATCGTCCTTAGGTCGTCCCTCGAATGGTCCTTCCGGTCGCAAATTATCTTCAGGCCGTTTAACATCAGCTCTTTCTCCTCGAGTTGGTTTATAATCATCTCTAGGACGTCCCTCAAACGGCCCTTCTGGTCTCAAATTATCCTCAGGCCTTCTAACTTCTGGTCTGTCTGCACGTTTCGGAGTATAATCGTCCTTAGGTCGTCCCTCGAATGGTCCTTCCGGTCGCAAATTATCTTCAGGCCGTTTAACATCAGCTCTTTCTCCTCGAGTTGGTTTATAATCATCTCTAGGACGTCCCTCAAACGGCCCTTCTGGTCTCAAATTATCCTCAGGCCTTCTAACTTCTGGTCTCTCTGCACGTTTCGGAGTATAATCGTCCTTAGGTCGTCCCTCGAATGGTCCTTCTGGTCGCAAATTATCTTCAGGCCGTTTAACGTCAGCTCTTTCACCTCGAGTTGGTTTATAATCATCTCTAGGTCGTCCCTCGAACGGCCCTTCTGGTCTCAAATTATCCTCAGGCCTTCTAACTTCTGGTCTGTCTGCACGTTTCGGAGTATAATCGTCCTTAGGTCGTCCCTCGAATGGTCCTTCCGGTCGCAAATTATCTTCAGGCCGTTTAACATCAGCTCTTTCTCCTCGAGTTGGTTTATAATCATCTCTAGGACGTCCCTCAAACGGCCCTTCTGGTCTCAAATTGTCCTTAGGTCTTTTCTGTTCAGGTCTTTGCGTTATCGCCGGTACAATATAATCATCTTTCACATGTGATGTCCATTCAATCGGTCCTACTGGTCTCAAATTATCATCACGTCTCATAACTGTATTACTAATGTAATCAATTTCATCGAACGTTTTATACTCTTCGTGCGTAGTAGTCGTACTCTCAACAACATCCGTTTTACTGTAAAATCTATCATCCTCTTCTCTATAAATTGGACGACGTCTTGGTTCACGTTCAACGACATCATACTTATGGAAATCCTCTTTCAAATGGGAGGTTCCCTGTAATTGAATAAAAGGACCCATCGAAAATCATTTTCAATCGGTCAGAAATTTTTTAATAATACGTTTATTATATTTATATAATAATTAACAATATTTACCGTGAATTCACCCTCTCCTACGGTGAGGTTATCCGTACGTTTAATAATCTCCGCACGTTGGATGCTACGATGATCAATATATTCTGATCTCGTTGTAGTTTCATCAATGAATTCACCTTCAACCTTAGTATATGTATTTCGACGTACTGGGCTTGGTCGTTCGCCGGGTACCCCGGTGAACACCAGCTCTGTTGTTGTCACACCTATACAATATTATTACATTTATAATAAAACTCAAACTTAATAGAAATTTTTTTTTAGAAAATAGAACATTTAGAATGTTAAATAAACCCTATATATCTGTTATATGTATGTTAAATAACCCTAATAATCTAATTCCACGTAAATATATTATCGTAAATTATATTTAATAACAGATATATTTATAATATTATATACGGCAAATGTTCATTAGCTATATATATGTGTTCATATGTTTTTCTTACGCAAAAAGTAAGATATTATTAAGAGTCTGATAATTTATTTTTATTCATTACAAATGTCGACATATAGAATTCGATGAATGAATGAATGAATGAATGAATAAATGTTTTTTTAACGATTATTGCAAACAAAAATTTAATAATAATAATAATAATAATAATAATAATAATAATAATAATAATAATAATAATAATAGTTATTAATAATAATTAGAAAACTTACTTTCAAAATCACCTTCAGGTCTGAGATTGTCTTTTGGTTTGACAACTGGAACACGTTCGCCATATTTAGGAGCTTCCTCATGTGGCCTTCCAATAAATTCACCTTCTGGTTTAAGATTGTCCTGTGGCTTTCTGGTTGGTGCTCTTTCACCTCTGGTTGGTGCTTCTACCTTTGGCCTTCCAATAAACTCACCCTCAGGTTTCAAATGGTCTTGTGGTTTTCTTACAGGTGCTCTCTCGCCATAAGTGGCCACATAATCGGTACGTCTCTCTCCTACAAATTCACCCTCCATGTGTAAGTGATCTTCATGGTGGTATCTGTGCTGTCTGTCCACGTGTTTCTCATCAAATTCTTCACGATACGAACTGACCACGTGTACCGGCTCATCGCGTGAAATATCTATATGATCTTCGGGAAGATTGTGCGGACAACGATGGCGTCTGTTAACAAGAAAAAAAAAAAAAAAAAAAAAAAAAGAAAATACAATAAAGAAGAAAAATTCTACAATTAATCCTGAAAATGATTTTATTTAGCATCGATTTTAAGCGATTAAAAAATATTATTTGTAATCGATAATATTATAGTCTGACGTATTAGAAAAAATAATAATGAATTTGTCGAATCTAAGATTCGAAAATATTTATTAATTTGTCGTAATATATATATATATATATATATATATATATATATATATATAATTCAATTTTTTATATACATACGTACATATGTATCCTATGTATCTATTTATCGGATAAACAAGGAAATATAATAAATATTTGAAATATCTCGAAATTAAAAACTATTCATAATTTGTTGATTTCTTTAGATTTATATATAAATAAATCGTTCGTAGTTCTATCTTTGTAAACGTATTTAAATGTTATTTAAACAAAACTAATACATATACGTATATATAATTTATTTGTATTTAATCAATAATTTTTTAAGACAATAATGCGAACATTAGAAAAATGAGGTACTATTTGTGAGAGAAGATTTCGTAATAACCAACGCCCAACGTCCATGGATCCTTATTTGAAAGTCTTCTCGAAGGAAAGATCGAGAAGGATGACCTTGTATGGTGAAGAAAAAAGAAAAAAAAAAAAGAAGACCGTGATCACATGAGTGCCAATTTTGAATGCAAATGTGTGATCACATATGGACCGTTTTCAAGGCTCTCATTCGTCACATACACTTTCGTATAATATCGAAATGAGGAAGAAAAAAAAAAGAGAGAGAGAGAGAGAGAGAGAGAAAGAGATAAGATAAAAATAAAAATTTTTCTACCAAATAAAATTACCATTAACAAACAATAATCAAAATCTATCTCTAAACATTATTTACTATCAACGATAATAATCGAAATCGATTTAATCGGGTCAAACGATTTCATTGATAAAATTGATAAATAATTTACAACATTTATGCAAAATAAAAAAGCAATAATCTTAACAAAAAAAAAAAAAAAAAAAAGAAAAAGAAAAAAGAGAAAAAAAAAAAACAGAAGAAACACATTCGACGCAAAGGCAATTATCTAATATCCGATAAGATTTAATACAAACTTGCGATCTATAGATCTCTATGTATGTAAAAAAGAAATTAACAGGAGTTCGATGTATAAATAAAAAAAAAAAAAAAAAAAGAAATGAAAAAAAACGAAAGATAAATAAATAAATAAATAAATAAATAAATAAATAAATAAATAATATTCATTTTGCTTCTCTAGAGATGAAATTGATAATGTTCCAGACATTCTAATTTCTAATCATGAACTGATTTAGACGGACAGGTAAGTTAGACGAGAACGTCAATCAAAATGATGAGAACGTTAATGGGTATGCATCGTATAGAAGAACCAAGCCCAAAGCCATAGATCCTTTCCCCTCTCTCTCACCTTCCCATCTCTCTCTCTCTCTCTCTCTCTCTCTCTCTCTCTCTCTCTCTCATGTATTTGAAATTGGCTTAGTTCTATCCCTATCTTCCTTCAACTATGAAATTCAATATTGGCTTTGAGGCATTCTCTCTCTCTTTCTCTCCTTAATCTCTACACTAAAATTGTGATATCTTTCAAAATTCCCGCCAAAAAATATATCCGATATGAAATATTATCGATCGAAGAAATAAAATCATTTTAATTAATTATACCAACTTTATTATAATTAATAAAATTATTTAAAATGTAGAAATGAAAAAGTACTGAAAAATATTGAATGAAATTCATTATTATTCGATTAGATTATTATCGATTTATTATGGACAAGTTCAAAGATCAACATCGATCTCTGTCAACTACTAGGATTTTTAAAGGATAGGATACGCGTCGTTTTACACTGACACTTGAATAAAAGACTGGTAAGAGCCTTGAATAAGAAACGAATAACGAAAGGTGATCGGAAAGAAACAAGTTGCCATAAAAGGGTTGCGTCTGGTGACCTACTTTTTCATCATCCAAACACTTTATACGTTGTTAATATGAAAGTAGGACAGAAGATTTATATCAATCTATACGATCCTGCGTATCCTTTTATTACAAAAATCGAATTATCTTTGGGTGGTCGATAGTTATTTAGATTCTTTAATTTCTTTCTTTCTCTTTTTTTTCCTTTCTTTTTCTTTTTGAATTTCAAGATAAAAAACGTCCGACATCAAAATGTAAGTGATAATAAATTGGATTGCTGATTAAAAAAAAAAAAAAATAAATAAATAAAAAGAAGCAAGTTTTTTTTTTTTTTTTTTTTTTTTTAATTATAGCTAATAATTTTTTTAGCTTTCCATTTTGTCGATTTTAAATATTGACCTAATTATGGAAATTTAAATCAGGATAAATAATAAGAAACTTCGTGAATCCAAATTTATCATGCAAATTTAGAAATATTAAAAAGATTGAATAAATAAATGCTATTTGTTATTGTAAAATAAGATATATATATATATACAATATATTATGTGTAAGTATATTAAATATAATATATAGAAAAAAGTAAGAAAACTTACCCACAAGTACAAAGTTCACAGATACACTGTTCCTTTAATGGCAAACGCGAAAGGATTTCTGATGGCGTTGGCGTTATTTCAGAATCGGCAATAGAATCCGGTGATTGATCACCACGTCTATGCTTTCCTGGTTTCTCATCAGGACGATCGAATTTTCCTGTAATTGGATGTTCATCAGAACGACTGGGTTTCCCTGCGGCCGGTCTTTCATCAGGATAACTGGGTTTATCTTCAATTGATATATCATCAGGTTCATCAAAACGACTGGGTTTAGCAGCAATTGGTCTATCAACTGGTCGACTGGGTTTGCCTGCAGCTGGTCGGCTATCCTCTGGACGACTGGGTTTGTCTTCAGTTGATCTTACATCAGGTTCATCAAAATAACTTGGTTTTCCTATAATTGAGCTTTCGTCAGGACGACTAGGCTTCCCTGCAGCTGCTCTTTCATCAGACTCGTCAGGAAAACTGGGTTTGCCTGCAGCTGGTTTTTTATCAGGGCGACTAGGTTTCCCTGCAGCTGGTCTTTCATCAAATTCATCAGGACGACTGAGTTTGTCTACAGCATATCTGTCATCAGGACGACTAGGTTTCCCTGCAACTGATCTTTCATCAGGCTCGTCAGGACGACTGGGTTTGCCTGCAGCTGGTTTTTTATCAGGACGACTAGGTTTCCCTGCAGCTGGTCTTTCATCAAAGTCATCAGGACGACTGAGTTTGTCTACAGCATATCTGTCATCAGGACGACTAGGTTTCCCTGCAACTGATCTTTCATCAGGCTCGTCAGGACGACTGGGTTTGCCTGCAGCTGGTTTTCTATCAGGACGACTAGGTTTTCCTGCAGCTGGTCTTTCATGAATTTCATCAGGATGAGTGGGTTTGTCAACAATATGTCTGTCATCAGGACGACTAGGTTTTCCTGCAGCTGACCTTTCATGAATTTCATCAGGATGACTGAGTTTGTCTACAGTACGTCTGTCATCAGGACGACTAGGTTTTCCTGCAGCTGGCCTTTCATGAATTTCATCAGGATGACTGAGTTTGTCTACAGTACGTCTGTCATCAGGACGACTAGGTTTTCCTGCAGCTGGTCTTTCATGAATTTCATCAGGATGAGTGGGTTTGTCAACAGTACGTCTGTCATCAGGACGACTAGGTTTCCCTGCAGCTGGTCTTTCATGAATTTCATCAGGATGACTGAGTTTGTCTACAGTACGTCTGTCATCAGGACGACTAGGTTTTCCTGCAGCTGGTCTTTCATGAATTTCATCAGGATGAGTGGGTTTGTCAACAATACGTCTGTCATCAGGACGACTAGGTTTTCCTGCAACTGATCTTTCATGAGTTTCATCAGGATGAGTGGGTTTGTCAACAATACGTCTGTCATCAGGACGACTAGGTTTTCCTGCAGCTGGTCTTTCATGAATTTCATCAGGATGAGTGGGTTTGTCAACAGTACGTCTGTCATCAGGACGATTAGGTTTCCCTGCAGCTGGTCTTTCATGAATTTCATCAGGATGACTGAGTTTGTCTACAGTACGTCTGTCATCAGGATGACTAGGTTTCCCTGCAGCTGGTCTTTCATGAATTTCATCAGGATGACTGAGTTTGTCTACAGTACGTCTGTCATCAGGACGACTAGGTTTCCCTGCAGCTGGTCTTTCATGAGTTTCATCAGGACGAGTGGGTTTGTCAACAATATATCTGTCATCAGGACGACTAGGTTTTCCTGCAGCTGGTCTTTCATGAGTTTCATCAGGACGACTTGGTTTGCTTGCAATTGATTTTTCATCAGGACGGCTTGGTTTCCCTGCAGCTGGTCTATCCTCTGGACGACTGGGTTTTCCTTCAACTGGTTTATCATCTTCTGGACGAATCAACAATTTTTCAACTTTTCCAAGCTTCTCTGGACTTGATGATCTCTCTTCCGGTCTACTTGGTTTGCCGGCCGCTGGTATTGGTTGCTGCTTTCTCGTCGGTGAGACGTAATCTCGTGGTTTCCCTCCATCGGTCGGCCTAACGTATCAATACAATTACGATATACTATAATTGATGAGATTCAATGTAATGATTTAAATCAATTATTATTTAAACATTAACAATTTATGAAATATTTTCGTTCCCGCATAAATTTTTAGGGATATGTCTTTCTTTTTCCTTTCTTCGTGTATAAATTTACGTTTACAATTTTTCTTTTCTTTTTTACCTTTTCATTTCAATTAACATTTCCTTCATTACCTCATTCGTTTATAGAGTGGATTCCTTTTTTCTTTTTTGTTTTTTTTTTTTTATTTTTTTAATAAAGTTTGTGATATAGTCATATATATATATGTATATACATGTATAGGTATGTAACTTACTTTTTGATATCATCCGTAGGACTTTTTTCTGGTTGCTGAGGGCGAGATGGTTTTCCAGCAGCTGGAATCGATTTCGTTCGATCGTCTTCCCTAATCCCTGGTATTCCTTGAGGATAACCAAGTCTTTCTGGGGACGTTTTTCTCGTGGGATCGGTCGTTGGTTTAGGAGTTGAGCTGGTGATCCTCTCAAACCGAATATCGTCGACGACATCTCGAGCTACCATACTAGTCACCTGCTCTGTTTCGATGAATTCTTTCGTTGATTTAGTGACATCTCTCTGTAAAACAATTATTAAAACGTTCATTATAATTGTCAATATTTTTCAGATCGTTGTTCAATTGGGAAAAAAAAAGAATAATAAAAAAGGAAAAAAGAAATTTGATACAATATTTATAAAAAAAATATTACACTTATATTATATCACGTTATCTATTTAATAAAATTTATTTTTAATTATATCGAATAAAAAAGGAAAAAAGAAATAATAAGAGACAATTTTATTTCTTTTGGTTTTAATGAAAATATTAGAAGTTTATATATATCTATATATAAGGTTAATCATGTAATTATCCTAATTAAATTATCCTTATAAAATATTATAAATACATAAAAGTAATATTTTTTAAAATCGTTTATACACTTAATTTAATTAAAAACAAAAATCATAAATCTTATTTAACGCGTTTCTTCTTAATTATTCTTAATTAATTATTATAGTAACAAAAATAATATTACGAATTTATAAAAAGTAGGATAAAAATTTTGTGAAAAATAATTTAGATCCCATTTAACATTTGTTATTCTATGAAAAATATTCGAAGGAATTAAAATTTTGAAGTTCCTTTTTTTTTTTCTTTTTTTTTTTTCAACAGATTATATTCTCCTTTAATTGCTCAATCGTTAAATAAGATTAAATATGAATTATATGAAGGATTATATTAGGGGACAGTTTTATCATTCGTCTCTTTCTTTTAACATCGAACGTGTTATGAATGATGCAACGAACACGTAGTTTAGCCTTTATACGTATCAATCGATTATAATATTGTCTTGTCAACGAACTCAAGACCATTAGGTAGTTCATTCCCCTCAAAGACAATTAAAATGGACTTTGCTAATCGAAATTATTATCGTCACGCTAATTACATTCGCTTTCGCGAGCTGTTTACTAAATTGATAACTAAAACGTCCATTACTTCCATTACATTGTTTCGTATATTTCTTATTTTATTTTATTTTATTTTATTTTTTTTTTTGTTTCTAATCTAAACAACTAAATGAAAAAGAAACGAAACGTAAAATTATGTAATTATTTAATATAATTATTAATAATACATATGTATATGTCACGTGATCAAAAAAATTTAATTATCATAAAATATTAACGATATTAATAATATTATAAGATTTTTATATAACAAATAATGATCGTCAAAATATTTCAAAAATTTCCTATTCAAGTTGATCGGAGTTGGAATAAAAAAAAAAAAAAAAAAAAAAAAAAAGAAGAAAAAAATAAACAAATGCACATAAAAAATGAATGAATAAATAAATTTAAAATAAAAAAAAAAAGTTTATCAAATATATATATATATATATAAGAAAATTTTTGCTCTATAATCTAAAGTTAAAAATTAATAAAAAAAAAAAAAAAAAGAAAAAAAGCAAGAAAAAAGAACAGAAAAAAAGAAAACAAAAAGAAAACGAACAAATAATATGTCAATTAAAAAACTAAACACTATATTTACTTCGCTATATTTCTAAAAATCTAATCAATCAATTGCTTGTGAGTTCTAGAGAGAGAAAAAGAGAAGGAAAAAGGAAAAAACAATTCCAATATAAACGTCGTAGCAATTTCCATTTGATTAAATCCATACCTACAATCAAGGTAACCTAATCGATCGATTATTATAAGAGATGAAGTAAACATCATGTTTTACGATAATTATCCTAACACACTTTGAGATGTAATTTGCAAAGAGAACAATAATAATAAAAAAAAAAAAAAATATATATATATATATATATAGCATTAAGGACTATTAACTTAGAATTAACATGAAACCATTACCTTTGTGATAATCAACGAATAAAAAGTATAAAAAATGTAGCATAAATTTCTAATTTCTCATAAAAACACGTTAATAATACGGCAAGTTAAATACAGATCAGAAAGAAGACATTGGAATAATGAGAACGAAAGAAAGATTTTAGTTTTATGATTTATTTTCTTCTTTTCTTTTTTTTTTTTGATCATTATCGTCTTGAATTATATTTATTAAGTGTAAGAAAAAAAAAAAAACAGAGAGAGAGAGAGAGAGAGAGAGAGAGAGAGAGAAAGATGGATAGATAGAGAGATTAGAAATGTCACGTGCTACTTTGCTCAAAGTAACATGAGATTTGCAGTGGATGACTTTTTTATATGTGCGCACACCTTATAAACGTATCACATAACATGCTGAGCTAAAACGTTCTCTACCTTTCAGATTCGATTTCGTTCTTCTCTTATTTTTTAGTCGTCAGACTGCTTGCTGATAGTTGCTTGAAAAAAGACAAGGAAAAAAAAAAAAAAAGAAAAAAAAAGAGAGAGAGAGAAGAAATAAAAGTAAAAAATATAATAAATTATATACTCGAGTGAAAGTAACGGAAGACTGGCTTGTTCCATATATAGATATATCCATTCTATTAATAGTGTATATATGATTATTATTATTATTATTATTATTATTATTATTATTATTATTATTATTATTATTATTATTATTATTATTATATAGATAGTAATTTATTTTATGATAATTTTTAATAGAAATATAAAATAATATATTTCATTATTACTATTACTACTATTATATTACACACACATACACACACATATATATATATTATTATATATATATTAATAATAATATATATATAATTAATTAAATATATAATTCCTATAAGAATAATCGTTGAAATTTGTATTATTCTTTTGGATCTTTAAACAGAAAAAAAAAAAAGAGAAAAAAAAAGAGAATGAAAAAAAGAAAAACAAGAAATATATAAATAAAGGGATAAAAGCAAAAGAAAGAAAAACATTGTATATTATTTCACGGTTAGTTCAACGTATACGTTTTGCTTCGTTAAACGTATTTAATCATCATAACTTTTACTCTACCAATAAAAGAATCATAGTCAAGTGTAGGCGATGATAATGGTAAGTTAGAAATGGCACGTGTATATACTACTAATAATATTACGACAAATTTTATATACGTGACGTTAAGTTAAAATTATTCATTTTGATGATTCCACTTTAAGGACTCTATTTATTATTTCTAAATGGTAAAATGTATAATACTTATTAGAATACTTATAATATATGTATTACTTTCATACATAGAATTGACCATTTGATCGATGCCTGGTGCTTACGTTAAAGTGACTTGACCTTTGTTCACTTACTATACCAGATAGTTAATGAAAAAATTACTCGTTATGGATGTGTGTTCTTGGTATTTTAAATTTAGATCACGGTAAATTTTACTTTCATATTCTTCACTAGCGTCAATTTCTTTTATATATATATGTATATAAAATAAAAAAAGATCGAAAAAATCTAAAATTAAATATAAAAAAAAATAAAAGAAAGTAGAAAGATTTTATCGAATTCTTAATAATATCTAATCTCACCAAAAATTGTTTTAGGAAATATTAAAATAATTTTACACATACACATATATGTATGTATATATATCAGATATATATATATATATATATATCAGATATATATATATATATATATCAGATATATATATATATATATATCAGAATTAAAAAAAAAAAATATAATAATTAATAATTTAATTTAAATATAGTATAAAATAAATAAAATTATTTGTAATAATTAATTATATAATTATTTAATTATAATATATATTATTTATTAATTTATTAATAATTATTTATTTATATTAAAAAATTTTATTATATATATATATATATATATATATATATATAAATAAAAAATTTTCATATAAAATCTAATATAACTAATGTTTAATGAAAAATTACATATTAATAAATTACGAAATAATAAAATATTCTTTTACCTTTATCACTTTTTTCCTTTATTAATCTTTCCTATTTGTTTTCTTTTTTATTTTATTTTCGTTCAGTTTTTTTGTTTTCACGCAACCGGATTGATTTGTACGAAATAAAAAATTTGTCATTGTTTATGCAATTCGACGAAAATGTGTTTTCTTTCAAGTCGATGTAACGAAAATATAACGTAAGGTAAGAGAGAGAGAGAGAGAGAGAGAGAGACACTATTATATCTACGAGTATAGCGGATCGTCGAGGAAATACGGGTTACGCGTATATACAAACGACACATACATAAAATACACGTCTCTCGACTTTTGCGTGTCAGTAAATAAGTGGAGCGTGTAATATACATACGCTGGTGTAACGATAGTTTACACTAGTGTTTCCCAAACTATTACAGAAAATATTCATTGAAATACTGACGTTTCTTACTTCCTCCCTCCCCTCCCCTCTTCGCCGTTGAAAAATCATGATAATTAAAATATTAATTTATCAATTTCATGGATACTTTTATATGGATATTTTTGCATAATTACAATTTGAAAATAAAATTGTCCACTATATTCTTATATCACTCGCTTTATAATTTATTTATCATCTAGATAAAATATATTGTCCTATTAATTAAATAATCAAGGTGTAATGTTAAAATTTTCAAAAAAATTTTTTATATATTCCATCATAGTAGAAATTTTGCAAATCCTGCTTTATACGTTTCAACAATCAAAAAGTGATAAAGTGTTACCTATATATATATCTACACCTGTACGTATATATAGTAGGTATGTACAGAATAGGCCAAAAGTTTTAAGGTGAGTTGAAAATTTTTCAGATGATACGAAAAAAAAAAAAAGAAAAGAAAAGAAAAGAAAAGGAAAAGAAAAAAGAGAGAGAGAGAGAAAATAAAAATGATACAAGCGATTATAAAAATGAATTGAATTTTTCACGAGAAAACTTTTTTCAATTAATTTCATTCGAATAATAAAATTTGAGAAAGCTCCATACGATCGTAGTTTTGCGATTTGAAGAAAAACGAAAAGGTAACAAACAAATTATAATAAAATAAAATGAAGAAAAGAAAATCAAAACAAAATTAATTAATTCGAAAAGATCGCGAAAATGGGACGATTAATTGGATTTTTTTTGAAAAATCTTTCACCTGGCCAAAAACTTTTGGTCCATCCTGTACATGGTATATACATAATTAATATGTGTACGTGTATATTTGTATCCTTGTATCTGGTTGGTTTTCATGTACGCATGTACACAAATATGCGCGCGCACATATCGCGTCACGTTTATTTCTCGCTTCTTTTTAAACGTTACTTTTGCGTAACTTTACCTGATTCAATTTCTTAAATGGAATTAATGATTCCTTGTTTTTTTCTTCTTTTTTTTTTCCTTATTTTCTTTTCTTTCTTTTCCTATTTTTTTTCTTTTTTTTTTTTTTTTTCGTCGTATCGTCATCATACACTTTCGCAAGATATTGGTAACTACGCAAATATTCATATTTATTAGAAAAATTTGTGATTTAATTATTTTGATAAAATATCTCTATTCAATCCCTTTGATTCCTTTTAATTTCGTAAAGTTATGTGAATTTTTTAATTTCTTTTCTTTTTTCTCTCTCTCTTTCTCTCTCTCTCTCTCTCACTCTCTTTTTTTTTCGTTCTTCCTCTTTTATTATTCACTTGACCGTATCTCGTTATATTTGGCGAACACACAATTTTCTAATCGTCACGTTAATTTACATTCCAATACTTTGTTTCTTTTTTGTTGTTGTTGTTGTTGTTGTTGTTATCTTAATTTACACCGAGGAAAATCGATTATTATTTACAACGTTCTTTTTAAAATTAACGTGATAGTGAAAAATAGTAAAGAACGTTGTCACGTGATCGTCGTTAATGCAATGAATAAAATCAATTATTTCCAATATAAATAATTTTTTTTCCTAATCTTCAGATAAATACCTAATTGATCTAATGAAGATTTATTTTCATGGCACAAGAAAAAAAAAAAGAAAAAATGAAACGACTAATAAAATAATTATAAAGGTCCGTTATCTATTCTAACATCAACGTGTCTAAATAGAAAAGTTATTAATCAACATACTAATCGTTGAAATAAATAAAGTAATATTAGAAATCTGTTAGATCACATTACGTATATTATTCTTACGTGTAAGTATATATTAAATTAATGGTAATGGATCTATGAAAATATCGTATTATATTTTAACGATTTAACGAGAACAAGTCTTTCTGTTTCATCACTATTCTGTACTTATTGATTTAAAAAATAGAAGTAGAAGAAATAGAAATAGTAAAAGAAGCTGTATACGCGACACCTATACCACATAAATACATATATTCATGTCATTACGGATTACGAGTTCCTTTTAAATTACGTAAGTATAGATTTAAAGAGCTCGAACGAACTACCATTCATTCGTAACTAACTATATATTCTCTCTTTCTCTTTCTCTCTCTCTACCTCTCTCTCTCTCTCTCTCCTTCTCTATCTCTCTATCTATCTTTCTCTTTATATCTCTTTTTCTATTACTTAGATATATATTAAATATATACAAAATATTGGCGAAACAAAAGTTCTTAGGTGATATTTAAAAATCAATTACACTTTTTTTTTTTTTTTTTTTTTTCTTTTAGAGATACTTTATAACTTTCTTTATACGTCATAATTTTTACGAACTGATGATCTTGTAGTATATATATTTTTTTTTTATACAATTTGCAAAGATTAAACGTTAAAAAGTCTCGAGGAAAAAAAATAAAGTTGATTGATTTTTATAATACATTTGATAGAATGTTTGAACCGAGGCTATATATTTCTTTTTTCTTTTCTTTTTTTTCTTTGTTTTCATTTTCTTTTTTTTTCTTTTTTTTTTTTTTTTTTTTAACATCGATACGATCAGAAAAATAATATCGTATTATTTATCGCGCGAGGAAGAAAAAAATCTAAACGTTTTTATATACATATATATAAAATGTAGATACGATTTAGAGAAACTAAATGATTATAATCAAGTCAAACAAAATGGTTTCTATAATACCTCACGCAAGATGCTGATGGAAACAGGTCGTCCATTAAAAAAAAAGTCAAACCAATATGAACGATGACGTCATTCTGACGAACTCATGACTCCCAAGCATTAAGCACGATCGTTATCGTTCTGAGTACATACGTGTGTATGTATCCATGTATATATATATATGTATCCATATATGTATGTATGTATATATGCTCGATTTATCGCTTAGATCATTCAAGCAGGTACATATATAGATATGTATATACATACGTGTATACACGTTCAGTCAATTTAACTCTGCCGATTTGTCTTTTATAAGTCGAGATTTAGATACATATACAATGACCTTGTACTTGAGAGATCATGCGGAATCACAATCACAGAGAGAGATAGAGAGTGAGAGAGAGAGAGAGAGACGGAAGTACCTTTTCTAAAACGATTGATCTTACATATGATTATTTTTTATTTGCATCATTCGTTACGTTATTCCTCGAGATCATTAAACGAAACTTGTAATACAGCTTAATGTTATATATTATTCATAAAAAAAAAAAAGTAATAATAATAATAATAATAAGAAGAAGAAGAAGAAGAAATTCTTCATCGTGAAACGTGAATATTAAATTTTTATTGAAATATTTATTGGTATCGTTCGAACACATTTGATATAATCTAATCTATCCTATTATTTTATTATAATTATTTAATAAAAATGACGAAATAAATGTATAATCATTAGAATCAATTGAAAACGAATAGATGAATTTTTTCAAAGGTTTAATCTTTTCTTTCTTCTTTTTTTCCTTTTTTTCCTTTTTTTTTTTTTTTTTTTTTTTTTATAGATTCGAACAATCGAATCATTTTGCATCGTTCGACAATAACGAAACGTTGATCTACGATTTATATCATCATTATTTTATATCAAAATAAATATATAGTTTTTAATCTTTGATAATTCTTATCGATAATTTCAATCTCGATATCCGATATTTCGAAAATTTTACGTAAAATTCTTATCATATTTTATAAATCTTATCGATATACGATAAATATTTTAATAACAATTGGATAAAGTTTCTCGTGCATCGCTTTAAATCTACATTTAACGTTATCATTAATTTCCTCATATCAATGGATCATTTTCTAAACAAATGTCTAACGCATTGAAAGGAAAAGAAAAGAAAAAAAAAAGGAAAAAAAAAAAGAAACCAAGAAAGAAATAAAAATATTAGTCCCTTTAATGATTCACGTTCGATTCATTAAAATCAAAATTGTCTAATTTATACGTACGAAATAGAACATTCGTTAATTATAGAATATATAGAACTAAACAGAACGATTTTAATTAGAAACTTCGAACTATGCTCATGCCGAGAATATTATGTTTTGATGTTATCGATACTATCGATTTCAGCCTAAAGCGTTCCGACATTTAGATATAGTATAATCATTGTACCGATCATGCCAAAATTTTACCAAAGAATGTCTAAATTCTATCAAAATAATTATCTCTCTCTCTCTCTCTCTCTCTCTCTCTCTCTCACTCTCTCTCTCTTTCTCTCTTATACGCGCATCTCATATTATTATTTTTTCTTTCGCATATTATTTTTTACGCGCATCTCATATTATTATTTTTTCCTTCGCATATTATTTTTTCTTTCACTTCAACCCACATTCTAATCATCCAAATGACTTTTTAATTGACCAATCAGACAACCGTTAAATTTTAATGGCGACGCACCATAACAATTTTCACTATTACGTTCAATCTATTCTTTCGGTGTGAACGACACTTAAAATTAATAATAATGATATAAATCCCATGTATATAATCCGGATGTAAGTACATACATACATACATGCATACATACATGTGTATCTGTATATATATATATATATATATATATATATATATATATATATATGTATATATGTAAATATGTAAATCGTATACAAATGTCCAACCTACTCTCTTCGACATTTCAAATACTTATTTTTATCTCAACAACATATGACATCATACTTCTGATTAACGCACCTAACTCATATTTTGCGGAAATTAATGGTCAGGATTTGATCAACCATATAAAGATAATTAAGAGATCAAATTGGTTGCTTTGCTTTGCTTTGTTTTTTTCCTTTTTTTATTGTTATTATTATTATTATTATTATTATTATTATTATTATTATTATTATTGTTGTTATTATTACTCACCACAGTGTCCTTACGTGTATCCGTGATAAATTCGTTGATGACATGTTCTTCGTGTATATCTCGAACGTCCGATTTGAACATGGTAACATCAGTGACATCAGTAATATTTGTAATATTCTTTAAATCTGATTTAAACGTAGTAATATCTGTGACGTCAGTAATGTCCTGAACATCCCTAACATCTTCCACGAATGTCGAAAAGGTTGTTCTTTCGATCGATTTATCGATCATTTCTTGATCAATGGGCAATCGTGAAATTGTTTTTAAATCTTCAGACTTTTTTAGATCAGAAGAAGAGAATAAAGATTTCTCAATGTCTGTTGGTTTCCTTTTAGAATCCTGTGGTTTTTCATAAACAAACGAACCATCCCAGGTCGAAGCACCAGGCTTCGAAGGTCGTATAGTCCTGTCTATTGATTTCTTTTCCGGACTTTTATCTCTCTTATCATATCCATTAGATTCTCCGATAAATCTTTTCTCATAAGAAATATCATCTTGAATAATCTTCGACGAATCGATAGAATCAATAATCTCATTTGTTGTACTTATAACTTTAGTTGAACTTGTTAAATCTTTCGAAATATCTTTCGATATAATTGATGTTCTCATGTCCGTAGTCGATATATTTTTATCCTGTATGAAAGAATCATCCCAGGTCGAAGTACCTGGTTTCAAAGGTCGTCGAATTGATTCATCGATTGGACTTTTTGATCCATTAAATTCCTTTAAACGTTTCGTATCATCAGTAATATCCTCAATAATTTTCGATTTATTAACAATTTCATTTGTTGACGTTGTTTTTAATTCGGTTGAACTAACAAAATCTTTACTATCCTTCACGATCATCGAACTTGACGTCTTTCTATCATCCAATTTTTCGTAAACGAAGGAACCATCCCAAGTAGACGAGCCTGGTTTGCTAGGTCGATATGTTCTATCTTGAACATGCAACGATTCCTTCGATCCCTCAGCGATACGTCTTATTCCAGTGTCCGGAGTTTCAGGTCGATCTTCTAATGTAATAGTTCGTTGGCTCGAGGTCACCGGTTGTTGTCCATCTCGTTGGACGACCGTTTCAACGGAAGTAGAAGAGAAATCAAGATTGGACGTATCGTTGTAGTAACTGTCATGAGTTTTCGTCTTACGATCCAATTTAACCAGATTGGTGTCGGTAAATGTCTCTGATGTTATTCTATCGTGAATATCGAGAGTAACGTCGCTCACGTGTTTCCTAGGTTTGTCCTCCAATGAAATATTAACATTAGTTTCTCCTCGTTTCGATAAATCACTGACTTTTTGTTGTTCGGTTCTACTAGATGATCTTTTTATGTCTTCGGGTTTTTCGAAAATAAATGTACCATCCCAACTGGATGTACCTGGCTTACCAATTAATCTTTTTGGACTCTGATGAACAATCGTTTCCATTGACGAACTATCTTTAATATCAGTGAAACTCTGTTGACTCGAGGAATGTTCGACTATGTAAGATGTCGTCGAAATGTCGGCTTCGTTTATCGAATGATCCTCGCTCACGTCATGAATTACAAATGTCTCGTCAGCTGGTCTTCGTCGACGATCCAATTTTGGTGATCTCTCGTAAACGAAACTACCGTCCCAGGTCGATTCGCCAGGTTTGTAACTTCGATGATCTTTTTTAATTGATGACGATCTTCCAATACCTATATTCTCAACGTCCTCCTCGTGAATCGTTTCCGATACTGATGTTACCAATTCGATATTTTTTGCATCGCTCGAACTCGCATATTCGACCACGTATGAGCTCGATACGTATTCGGACATATTCGATATATTTTGTTGCTCCTCCGTTATATCTTGTACGTCCATTATTACATCTCTCAATTTATCCTTTCTTCTTACAACGGTTTTATCGAGATCTTGTTTGTTATCGTATCGTATATTTTTATTTGCATCAAATTGATTTTTATCTAATAACTTTGATTGATCCGTATAAATTTGACTCTCCTTGGCACTACTGATTTTTTCTTCCGAGATAAATCTCGATGTGTCCGTTGATCCTTCGCGAACGTGTACGACGTTAGACAATTCTTTTTCATAGGTACCATCTAAATTTTTTTCTTTGTAATCACTTCTTTGCGTTGATTCAATGATATCATCCTTATTATTATTATTATTATGCCTAAAAATATTGGCATCCGAAATATTACCTCGTCTTTTCGTTTCTTTAGGTTTCTCATAAACGAAACGACCATCCCAAGTAGATTCGCCAAGTTTTTTACGACGAACATCAGCAGTATCGATTAATAATTTCGAACTATCCTTTGACGTTTCTTGAATCATCGAGGACATCTCTCTGATCGTATTTGAACTTTGTTCGTTGGTGATTTCAATGCCTGTCCCGGCATCTCTTTCGTCAATCGTTCCACCATCCAGCAACACGTTGCTAATCATTATATTATCATTTTTTCTCTCACTATAAGACTTTGTATTTCGTTCGTTTATAAATGTACCATCCCAAACGTTAGTTCGTCCTGATTTAATCGAATTATCAAGGACGGTACTTTCACCTGATGTCTCCTTGACGTCGTCATCTGTAAATTTAACAATACGTGATGCCCGTGGTAGTTGTTGTTGTTGTTGTTGTTGTTGTTGTTGTTGTTCGACCGGTAAAAATTTCGTTTCATTTTCGACACTTCGGCTATTAGACGACAATATTTTCCCATTGTCATCAATCATCTCAGACGATTCTTTGATACTTTGAATGTTACTACTGATGGTATCACCATTCTTCGTTATTTCTTCTTTCGATTCTTTATTAGCCTGTCTAGTTTCTATCGTATTAGACGATAACACTTTTATATCACCATGATGATCAATAGTCTCTTGTATATTACTAGTCGAAGTGGAAACCATTTTGGATCTTTCACATTGACTTTTGGATCTTTGATCTTGCATTAAAGTTTTCCCATCCTGTTTAATTATTTTTTCCGCGATAATAAAATCCTCCGAACTTTTGCCGGTCCTTTCGATCGAACTTTTCGTTGCCGATATCGGTGAAGTTTTCTCGATCACCCGTATAACATTACCTTTGGAATCCATGATAACCTCGCGACTTGTATTACTACTTTCAACGATGCTACTTCTGGATTCGCTCTCTACTATTGTTTTCTTTGCTTCTTCGTGTACGCTACTGGATGACAATACCACTGTTTCAACAACACTCGTACCAGTAGATGCCTGTATATCTCCTGTATTATTTCGACTGGATGACGTTATTATCGTCCTATCGCCGCCATCTTTTGTCCCACGAACATTCCCCGTTGAATCTTTTTTACGATTTAACGTCATCCTTACGATGATCCGTCTTTATATCGTATTTATATATATATATATATATATATGTTTGTATTTATCGAAGTTCTATCTAATTAGATCAATTGCGACGTATTATCGTTCGGATATTATATATTACGATGATAATTTCAAAAACAATTGAGATAATTATCTATAAATAGATCAGTTATCTCTTCTTTCTAACGTAAACGCTTCTCGCACACCTCGCTTATAGATTATTATTCCCGTTTTTGTATCTCTTCGTTTTCTTCCTTTCTCCTCTTCTTCTTTTTTCTTTTCTTTTCTTTTCTTTTCCCTTGGTTTTTCTTTTCTTTTCTTTTCTTTTATTTCAATCAATGAATAAAAATTAGTTTACTCTTTATCACACTTGCTATTGCTTCACGTTAATTTACGTTTATCGTAATACAAATTATTCGATATAATTCCACGAATGATACGCACTTTTGCCAATACGAGAATTGTGAAAGAACAAAAAATGGATATAAGGAAAAAAAAGATCTTCGACGACTTTTCTCTTGTGTATGTGTGTATATGTGTGTATGTGATATTTTGTTTATTGTTATATCTCTATCTCACTCTCTCTCTCCCTCTAGGTGGTCCTCTTCTCTCTCTCTCTCTCTCTTCTAGTCTCTTCTGTTCTGTTCTCTTCTCTTCTCTTCTCTTCTCTTCTCTTCTCTTCTCTTCTCTTCTCTTCTCTACCACTATTTCTCCCTCTCTTTCTCTCTCCCACTCTTTGTTGCTTTGCAGGCTCCGTTTCGCAGGAAGAGGCGTGTGTTTCACTGATGTTCTCTGCTCGATATCGCACGTCGATGTGGCATTGCGGCCAACTCGCGGGCCCTAGTGACCAAACACGATGACTCTCTCCACCTCTCTATCTCATTCTCTGTCTCTCTCTCTCTATCTATCTCTCTCTCTCTCTCTCTCTCTCTCTCTTTCTGAACGAGGCCTCTCTTCTCTCTCCTCTCTTTCTCTCCCTCTCTCTCTCTCTCTCTCTCTCTTTCTTCTCTCTCTTTCTGTTCACTTTTTAGCTTATGGAGAACGCCGATTCCCTACCTTCGAGACTTTACTCGACCTCGGCGTGGGACGTTTCTGTTTCTTTCTCTCTCTCTCTCTCTCTCTCTCTCTCTCTCTCTCTCTCCCTCTCTCTCTCTCTTTCTTTCTGCCTTTTTCACGCACTTGTACGTACGTAAACACGTATAAAGTCTGTTTATATTGTATGCATAAGATCTTCTATCTTTCTTACTATCTATTTCTTTCTCTCTTTCTCTCTCTCTCTCTCTTATTTGAACTTTTCAATAACTTCTTCTCTCTCTCTCTCTCTCTCTGTCTGTCTTTCTCTTTCTATCATACATTCTAAATGTATTTCCTTACGTAGCAGGAATGATTAAGAGAATTTATGTATAGTATTGATCTATCTATCTTTCTTTTTATTATATATACATAGGATTTATATATACGTATATATTTCTTTCGTCACATTCATACATGTATATATATGTATTCCTTTTGCATTAGAAATATTGAAAAAAAACTAATGTATCTATTTATTTATATATCATATTTTATTTATATATGTTCGTTCTATCTCTCTTTTTTACGTATTTATATATAAATATATAAACTTTTCTAATAATATATTTATATATATATATATAATTTCTTTTATTCTTTGAAATTATTAGAATTGATGTACGCTATTTTTTTCCACATAATTTTTTATAGCTACACAGATATAAATCTATTTTTTATATACTAATGTATAACATATATATATATATATATATATATATATATAAACATATATATGTATTTATATGATTCACTTTCTCTCTCTCTCTCTCTCTCTCTCTTTTTTTTTCTCATATACAAATATTTATACGTTTTGTTCATTCACTGTCATTCATATATTCATTGTTCATTTGATTTCATAGACATTCCTTCATTATATATACATCTATATGTGTGTGTATTTTTTTTCATAATATAAACACAATCATATAAACATAAAAATATACATACATATACACATATATACATATATATATATATATATATATATATATATATATATATGTATATAAATGATTTCTAATATGAAAATTCTTTTTTAATCTTTTTCAAAGAAATTTAGAAAATAATTTTCTATTATTTTTAAAGCGTGTAATGATATTTCTTGAAATGATATTATGAGAACGACAGAAGAGAAGATTCATTTGTGAGGGAGTTAAGCTCGAAGGAACCGGTTCCTCGTGACTACGACGACGACGACGACTACGACAACGATAACAACCACGACCACGACGACGACTACGACTACAACGACTACGACGACGACGATATAAACCGAGCGATGACGTAGACCGTTACGAATCTTCTCATTCTCTGCCCCTTCTACCACATCTTGTGGTATCCTCGTTCTCCATCTCACGATTGAGTCGCCATCGTTTCTACGTTTTAGACTTAGTAGAGAATTAGAGAGATAGAGAGGGAAAGAGGGAAAGAATATAAAGATAATGAGATCGAATGTATTCTCTTTTTTCTTTTTTTTTTTTTTTTTTTTCGAAATTATTTAGATAATATAATGCCTTAAGGTAATAATTCGATAGTAAATTTCTCTTTTAAATTTTGATCGATAACAATGACGACGAAGACGACGATGATTCACTGAAGGTCAAAATTTTTTTAAATGATCGATCATTTTTACGACGTCAATGAAAAAGTATTTTCACGATATCCCACTGGATCAATCTTTTACGTTAAGTTCTATGTATTTTCAATAAATCCGATTAAATTAATTGTATATTATCTGTGAATTTTTTAATTAATTTTTTTTCTCTCTTTTTTTTTTTTCTTTTTCTTTCTCTTCAGATCTTTATCTACAATTTACTAAGCAATTGTTGAGATAATGTAGATAAACGCGAGAACATCGAGATATTTTCGAATTTTTGATCGATCACGATATCATCGACGTACGACATCATTGAAATTATTTTAACATTGGATTAACGTTTATCTTTTATTCGGTTTTATTACAGATTTTTATCTTATGGAATTTGTATTTATCTTCAAGAAGCATGTCTTTAGATTTTATTCATAATTTATGGAATTATTATCAGGCAAGTTTTATTTATTTCTTTTCTTTTTTTTTTTTTTTTATTATATCTTAAAATTAATTTTAAATATTTCTATTAAATTTCAAAAAAATATTTCTTTACTTAAACAAAAGAAGAAGAAAAAAAAAATAAGGAAAGAGGAAAAAAAACCAAATATTCATATAACTCATTAACGCACGTATCACGAATGACTTCGAATAATGATTTTAAGTGAAAGACAATAACGAAATTTTTTACCAAGTGCTCATTCATTCGCATTAATTTTTCGTCACGAGTCACGTACTACCAACGAATCGAATTAATTTACAAATACTCGATCTAAGAATAAATAAAACATCAGACATGTTTATTGTCGTAAGCTTTGTTGATACTCTTATATACATACATACATATATACACATACACATATATATATATATATATATATATATATAGAGAGAGAGAGAGAGAGAGAGAAAGAGAGAGATACATTTTTACTTTATTCTTATTTTATTATTTTATATAGTTATACAAAATTTATTATTAATAAAAATATTAAAAGAGATAAATATATACATAGATAAAAGTGAAATAAAAGAGATTTCTTTTAAAGGATCTATAGATCTCTATAACTTTCGAATAAATTATATTTAATTGCATATTATAAAATATAAATTTTCATTATTATTATTATTATTATTATTATTATTATTATTATTCCTTAATTATTATTCTTAATCCGATTATGAAATAGTAACGACAATTTAAAATTGTGAAAAGAGAAAAATGAAACGAATAATTGCATCAACATTCACCTTGCCTCATGTAAAAAAAAAAAAAAAGAAAAAAAAAACAAAAAAAAGGGATAATAAAAAAGACATAAAATTAAAGAAAAACATGTCACTTGTTTTCTTAAATGAATAAATTCGAACTAATAATAAGAATACATTTTTGTGGGCGTCTGTAAGGTTCGTGCAGCAAATTGATTACAATGAAAAGTTAATGACGTAGCCAAGCGCATTATCGAAGCATTAAAAACGTAACAACGCGTTTGAATCATCAAAGAGAACAAGAGGAAGATAGAAAAGAAGGAGAGGGAGAGAAAGAGAGAGAGAGAGAGAGAGAGAGAGAGAGAAAACGGCATGCTACAAACGTGTCCTTGACGAAGAAATCAACTCCCATGATATAACGTAACGCAGGAAATGTGTGGAATATTTGAAACACATTGAACACCATATATATATATATAAATATAATATTCGTTCGATATTTAATTAAAATAAAAATTACAAATAATCATGTCAGACATATAACAATTTTAATAAATGAAACGATTTATAATGTACATTTGTACATTTTTTTTTTTCTTATTCTAAAGTGATTTCTTTTTTCCGGTCAGGGTCGCATCAAGGTCAAACCAAATGGGTTACGTCCTGAATTAGCCTCTTTTATGAGCTGTCACATTTTCGTAAAAGGAATATATGGTTCTGTATGGAAAAAAAAGAAACGAAAAAAAAAACAAAAAAAAAAAGTAATTCAAATGATCTTAAATCATATCCGAGATTTGAAAACTTGAAAGGGAGAAAAGGAAAAGAGAAAAATAATAATAAAAATAATAAAAATAATAAAAATAATAAAAATAATAAAAATAATAAAAATAATAAAAATAATAAAAATAATAATAATAATAAAAATAATAATAATAATAATAATAATAATAATAATAATTTCTATATCATTCTATTCTCCCATGTTTAAAACGATTCAACATTCTTTTAAAATATATTTCGTGGATATTAATCCTAAACAATAGATATGATTTGTGAGAGAATTATTGTTTATCGAATTATACGAAATCGCTTCGTCGAAAAAAGAAAAAAAAAAGAAAAAAAAGAAAAAGAAAACGAAAAAGAAAAAAGAAAAAGAAAGAAAAGAAAACAAAGGAAAGGAAGAAGAAATTTTAGACATTATATATTAATATATAAGGAAATGATAGTTATTATGATAATTAATTATAAATTCAAATGCACGCACATATACACTCACACACACACACATACACACACACACACACACACACACTTGTGAATATATATATATATATACAAGTACGTTTATTTGATCTTTTGTAATTATTTTGATAAATTGAAGATGAGAGGACTAAATTAAGACGTTCGCGATAGATCGAATTAACGAGTACGAATTTACTTTCTCATCCGAGAAGGACTTCTTAAATACACGTCTGTAAGATGCTACTTGAAAGAACACTCGTTCCCTCTCAGCTATATAAGCGAGTAGCCACTCGAATGAACTCGATGGAACTACGAAGGAAACGGTAATGGAATAACAACGGCGATACTGGGTCAAACCAAGAACCAGACGCAACTCAAATATAACGTAAGAGAAGAACACGCGACAGCACATAGTAAATTCAATCGATTGAGATAGATAGATATAGACAGATAGAGAGAGAGAGAGAGAGAGAGAGAGAGAGAGAGAGAGAGAGAAATGACATCGAGACGAGCAAGCAATACATACTACTTGATCAACTTCGAAGAAGATGAAATATAAAAAAGATTGACGGTCTTATCTTGGCGAGTGTGTTGATATAAAGTCTAAAGTTTATTTCTTGGAAATCTTTGCTTACTTTAGAGAGAAAATATAAAAAGAAAAAAAAAAAAAGAAAAGAGAAAGAATGAAAGAGAGAGAAAGAGAGACGATGTATATGTATTTTTGAGAAAGATCTCTTTTTTTCAAATGAAAATTGAAAATTCGCATAAATGACTAATGTCTAATATTTATCGATTATACATCATATTTACAAATAATTATTTTTAAGTAAACATATATATATATATATAATAATTCCAAACAAAAATTTATACTCTATGAATATTATATTTAAACGAAACTTCGTTCTCTAGGAAATACAAATGAAAAACTTTAATTACGACGAATTATTTTATTTTCAGACGAAACTTAATCACTCTGAAAATAATTTTCGAACGAAGCTACTAAAAAAAATAATTTTTTTTTTTTTTTTCCTTTTTTTTTCCTTTTATTCTTCTTCCTTTTTGTAAAATTATATGCGAACGAAACTTTCTTTTGCGCAGATTATTTCCTTCCCGTGGAAAAAAAAAAACAAAAAAAAAGAGAGGAGACAAAAAAAAGGAAAAGAAAA